ACTGTGCAGAACCCTCAAACTCCCAGGCCTCTGGCAGAGGACCCGAGATTGAGGAAGACACGTACCACCCACTGGGGTGAGAGGGGATTTTTTTTTATTATAGCATATTAGACCTAGTATATATTGAGAAGCAAATATAGAAATAAGAAAAAGCTTAGCATTAATTTCCTACAAATCTTGCTCCTAAGGCTCTCAATAAAGAACTAAATAGAACTCCATTGTGATGTCTTTGTGTAATCTTATTTATGCTGTTTTTCTAACAGTCCTTCTGACAATGTTTTTGATGTTGCCTTTGTATTGTATAGTATTTGTTTATGGTATTTGTAAGGAAACCACAGAAGTGGCAGAATTTGTTCCAAATATAGTTTAGAGATATATAAGCTTGTTCCCATCTTTCCAAAATAGTAAACTGAGAGTTCTAGATCTCCACGGATGTTGTCACTTCTCTTACACATTCTTCACCTGTTCATGTGAATGTCATCTGTCATGTTGATGTCATCTTTGACATCAAGAAGAGTATTATTTTCTGTCTCCTGTTTACTCAGAGGACAAATTGATCCTGAACAATTAAACCTTAACTTTTATTCATAGCACTGTATGAATAAATAGCAAGACAGATGATCTGTTCTTCCTCTTTAAAGACAACTCTTCCTCAGTGCATAATTATAGAATGAGAGTTTACCTGGTCCCAAGGATTTACAAGCATCTTTTCCCTCTGTTAAAAAATACCCTAGTTCATTCCTCTCCCTTTTTTTCTCCCATTCAACTCTCAGTTCCTTCTCTCTTTAAACTGTCTTAGCTTTCAGGCTTCACTCCTTATAAAATATTGCAAATTAACTCTTTATGTGCATTCTAAAAGAACACAAAATGTCTTTTCATCTCAGTATTGTTCAGGATTTAGTCAGTTTTATAGGTCAAATATCTATGATTTATACAGATGGTGTGGGGAGAAGGAGAGGAAGAGAGAAAGAATGGAAGTAGTTCAGGGAATTTATAGGAGTCTGCAGCTGTTGCAGTATCCAGCTATGACGAAGAGGAAAGCAATGTGGCCTTAATAACATCTCCAGCATATATCATTTCAGAAGAAGAGTGCATAACTATTAGTTGAATGGGGTTAATAGTGCTCAAAGAGACACATGTGTAGGACTGACCACATGAGCAGCCGTACCCTCTAATTTGTGATGTCAGTGGCCAATCCTCCACGTGGAGAGTACAATGGCCTGGGGTAGGAATCCTCTGCATGGAGAGCAGCAGATGCAAATGCTTCCATGTGCTCCCAGTTCTAGTACTAACAAGGGTCATGCTTGCATGGAAGACTTCACCCACACACCTTCAAATGCAAAGGTCTTCTCACAGTGGACAGTGGCACTGTCCTTATGGGGGACACACAGTATGACTTAGAGAGGGGAGGGACTGCTCCCTGCTCTTCAAGGGGGTATTGGACCACCTAACAGGACTAGTCACGACTTTGAGATGGAGAAAAAATGGCAGAAGGGATAATGATAGTGATATAAAAAAATGTTCCACCAAAATGGTTGTATTAGGGTGATTTATGACTTATAGCAATTGGTTTATATATACTACATGATACATTTGATAGAAATAGTTCTACCAATGTTAAATGTTTTTATTATCTGGTATTATTAGATATAACTTTGGCATACATTTATTAAAGCTTTTCTATCAGAGCACA